TTTCCCTAATAAATCCTGTGCCTCCTTCTCCAGTAACTTGGAAGAGAAAAACTAGAGAGGCTTTGCCTTTCCTGAGGAGAGACCAGAAACATCTGGGAGTATGAGATGCAGGGGGGTCAAGGAGGCGGGAAGAACCCGGTGCTCCGAGGTGAATCCTGGGCCCGAACAGTACGAATGAATGAGGCCTGGTGTTGTTCCGCGAAGGGCCCGTTTACGATTCCCTGCCTCTGACCGTTGAGTGAGGGCTGGCTGCTTAACTCGCATCCGTGCAGCCTAGTTAAAATCTAGTTACGCAATATGGTATATCAGTGCTTACAGAAACTCTGTTCCATGCAGAGCTGATTCACTTTGCTGTACACCTGAAACTAACACGAAAGTGTAAATCAACTATGCTCCAGTAAAAATTAAAGAAACAAAACTCTGTTCCACAGTGTTAGGAGGATTGTTTTGTTCTCCCCTTGCCTTCTGTACCTATAAGCTTGGGTGCTTTCTCCTCCTTATGCCTCTTTTGTTATCTCCTTCTGCGAAGCACACCTACCTCTGTCCAGTCAGAGAGCAGCCACTCGCTGGGACAGTCATCTTTCTTGCAGGCCTGCTGGGGGGCCAGTTTGGGGGCCGAACAGAAGGTCTCTGGAAGCTCCAAGAAGCTGCCATCAGCCATGCGCTGTTTGCAAAGAACCTCGCGCCTCTGGATGCCCCCTCCGCAGGTCCTGGAACACTGGGGAAGGAAGAGAAAGCAGACCCTGCATAGGACAGTAGCACATTTGACTGCTAATTCTTACCTTAGCCTTGGTTTGACTCAAGAGTGAAAGAAAAAAAAAAAGGAAAAAATAGAAAAGGAAGAATACCCAGGAACCAGCCCAAAGGATTTTTGCTTCCTCTCCTTGAAATGAATTTTGTGGCAAGTTCTACACCCTCTGCTCTTAATCTCAAATATGTAGCTAGAGCCCCCAGGAATTTCACGGGCCTTTAAATCTCAGAAAGTTGGTTCTACCCAGGGGCAGGACAGGAATAAAGACGCAGATGTAGGGAACAGACTTGAGGACACAGAGAGGGGGAAGGGTAAGCTGGGACGAAGTGAGGGAGTGGCATGGACATATATACACTACCAAACTTAAGGTAGACAGCTAGTGGGAAGCAGCCGCATAGCACAGGGAGATCAGCTCGGTGCTTTGTGACCACCTAGAGGGGTGGGATAGGGAGGGCGGCAGGGAGGGAGATGTAAGAGGGAGGGGATATGGGGATATATGTATACGTATAGCTGATTCACTTTGTTATGGAGCAGAAACTAACACACCATTGTAGAGCAACTGTACTCCAATAAAGATGTTAAAAAAAAAAAGTTGGTTCTAAACTATGATTTGCAGTCACCCAAGACAACTGGTTTAAAAGGTTATATAATAGAGGGTTAAACATATTTATGACCCAGTGAAAATAATCTGTGCTGCTTCCAGAATGAACAAGAGAGAGCTGCTGCCACCAACCTGCAGAGAAGGCGGCACTTCCTCTCTAAGTGTAAACATCCACTCTACCCTATTGGAGGGGAGATAGATTTGAGGCTTGGTTTTCCGAAGGACTCCCTGGAACCCGTTTCTTGTAGGACTGGTGTTTTTTTAGGGCGGTGGGAGCAAGACCCGTGGAAATTTGGGATACAGGAAAAATCACCTCATTTTAGTGGTTTTCAGCAGGACCCCAATCAAACACACCATTTACATGTAATTTAATAGTTATCATCCAGTTGCCCGAGGCGGGGCAGGAGGCTGTTATTCCAGGACTTTGTTCCTCCCTTGCGGTAGGCAAAGCAGCCCTCCGTTTTTAGCTGGGCACAAGACCTTTTGGCATACAGACTATATTTGCTGACCTCCCTTGAAGGTGCCACGTGACTAAGTGCTGGGCAAAAGGATATACGTGCAATGTTGTGTGCAACTTCGAGGAAAAACCCACAAAAAGAAAATGTGGCATTTTCCCCTTCCCGCCTCGTCCTTGCTGGCTGGAATTTGAACACGATGTCTAAAATGTAAACTTCCGCCTTGGACAGTGATAGGCAAAAGGAGGGAAGCAGCCTATCTTCCTGGGGGTGAAGCCAACACACCGGCCCTGGATGGCCTGTGTGTGTATAAGAGGAAAACACTTCTCTCTCTTATCTAAGCCAGCATGCCTTTGGGTGTCCTGTCATTTTTAGTCCATCTAACTCTAGCTAGAAAGACAAATACTGTATGAAATCACTTACATGTGAAATCTAAAAATTACAACAAACTAGTGAATGTAACAGAAAAGCAGCGGATTCACAGATATAGGGAACTAGTGGTTACCAGTTGAGGGGGGAGGGGCAATATAGGGGTGAGGAAGTGGGAGATACAAACTACTGGATGTCAGATGGGCTCAGGATGTATTGTACAACACAGGGAATATGGCCAATATTTTGTGATGACTAAATGGAAAGTAACCTTTAAAAACTGTATAAAAAATTTTTAAAAATGAAAAAAGGAGGCATAGGCACAAATGCTAAGAAAGGGAAAAGAAAAAAAAAATCTAACCCTAGCTAATCTATCAACCATGACTACTCTGTTCTGGGGGTGGAGGGATTTTATTTTAAAACTCTAAGGAGTGCTCTGCTTTCTTCAAGAATAGTCCCTTTTCTTGAATCTGCTGCCCTTGTGCTTGTTGAGAAATTAGGCCTGGGTATACAAAGGCTGAGCGTTTGTGCTTGTAGGAGCTTCTCGTGCTGCAGCAGTGGCCTCTCCGAACTCATGGGGGTCTGTGCTCAGTTGGCTGGAGTCAGAACTGCAAGGGGGATATGTACCCAGAGTCAAGGTGAGGATGGTGATACAGTGCTCCTGAGTAGAGTCAGAACGCTGCTGTGGCCCAGCTGTCACCCTCTTATTCGGTGGTCCCAATCCTGATGCACTTTATTTATTTATTTCTAAAATTTTATTTCATTATTTTTGGCTGTGTTAGGTCTTCGTTACCGTGCGCGGGCTTTCTCTAGTTGCGGAGAGTGGGGGCTACTCTTTGTTGTGGTGGGCGGGCTTCTCACTGCAGTGACTTCTCGTTGCAGAGCACGGACTCTAGGCACGCGGGCTTCAGTAATTGTGGCTCGCGGGCTCTAGAGCACAGACTCAGTAGTTGTGGCTCACGGGCTTATTTGCTCCGCGGCAAGTGGGATCCTCCCGGGCCATGGCTCGAACCCGTGTCCTCTGCATTGGCAGGTGGATTCTTAACCACGGTGCCACCAGGGAAGCCCCTGCTGCACTTTAAAACCACCTGGGAGCTTTTGAAAAGTCCTGAGTCCTGGGACCCATCTCAGATCCATTAAACTCTGGGATATGTGTCCCAGACATTAATTTTTTTAATTAAAAAGCATTTTTTTTAAACCTCCCAGGTAATTCTATGCAACCAGGATTGAGAACCATCTCTCCAAATGAATGCCCCTCTATCATTTCCAATGCGAGTAAAATAAACATGGAGGGGAAAACCTGGAACCCAGAGCAGCCTCTGTTAGAGCCAGTGGTTATGTGGAGTATCTTATAAGGTGTTTGGGTGTCCATCCAATTTGAATAAATGCTCCCAATATAAACAGGTAGCTGAATAAGAACAGCGTTCAGATTTAAGCATCTTACTGAATATGGCAATAAGTTAAAATGCAGGTTAATTTTTTCTCTCTTTCAAATTAAGGAGCGAATGAAAATAATTGGTTTTATTTTAAGGGTGACTATAGAGTGTGACCACTCACTTAAAATAACAGAGCTGAGTTGCCACTTTGCAGATAGGACCTGATTTAAGGGACAGACCCTCAGATGATTTCCCCCCTAACACTATATGGAATTCTGTGCCAACTGTATGACAAAACAGCTGCAAGAAAAGTTTAAAAAAAATCAGCTTGTTATTTTGAAGTTTGACCTACACAGAAAACTTGCAGGAAATTCTCAACACCCAAAGATAAAGTCAGACTCCTGAGAATGTCCTTCAGAGCCCTCACAGTCTGACCTGCATTGCGCTTCTCAGCCACGTTCCTTGCCAGCCTGCTGTGGGCTGGTGGTGCTTTAGCTGCAGTGGACAATCTGCCCTTCCCTGGGCCCACAGATGCCTCCTCTGCTCAGGCCTTTGATCACGTTTTTCACTCTGGGAGCAATGCCCTTCACCTCTCTGTCCATCCAGAAACTTCCAAGACATCCTTGAAGGCCCAGCTCACCGGCCACTTCTTCAGGAAAGCCTCTTTTAATCCCTCTGCCTCATGGTGTATAAGTCTCCTCCCACCCCACCTTGACCTGGAAGGGTACTGCACATCCCGTTAGGGCTGGTTGCTTATGCGCCCGCTATTTTCCTCCGCCTCCCTGCATTCACATAGGATTATGTGACTTTTGAGGAAAGGGAACGTATTCATCTTTCTATTCCCCAGTGCCTAGTATAGCATCTGGCAAAGAATGAACACTTCATAAATGTTTGTTGAACCGATGACTGGATGAATGAAAGGGCCAACAAGCCAGATGCTGAAAAGATGTAAAACAAACATCCAGCTGATGGGCTGAACATCCACCTTTTATCAGACTGTTTTATCATTAGCCAGAAGCCTCTTCTAAGCAAGTCAGCAGTGGGTTTCAGCCAGCTGCAGTGCGTGCTCTGCGGGGTGCTCTGATCCTCCAGGGATGGCAGACAACCCTCTGGCTGGGTTAATGTCGTCAGGGATCTGGCTTTTAAACGCTTGTCTCAACTTCGCTCAAAAAGTTTCCCTGGTGTGTACACTGAGGAAAAGGTGGTTTTCAATTTTTTTTTTAAATTTTAGAAGATGAAATCTCAAATTAGTAAAGGTTCCAAAGTCTGTGATGACTTTGTGAACTGGTCAAGGTTACGTGGTGAGGCTGATAGCTCTGACGTGAGAGGCAGAACGCAAAGGAGAAAAGATTTTAAAAGGCAGCAGCAAGAGAAATTTAATAAAATGCCACGAAAAATGTTTGCTTTATGAATCATCATTGAAAATAATATTGTGGTATGAAGATGTAGATCTCTGGTAATGGGTATTGTTTTAAAATATATTCCATAAACAGAATAAATTACCCAAAAGAGCATTTATATTGCTTATCCTTGTTGCCATGCATATTTCATGATATAAGGTCATGGGTTCATTAGTTTTATAAGAAAAGTAAAAACAACACAACATGAGGAACACGTAAAAGTTACGTTTCTATACAAAAATACAATGGCCTGAGTGTCGTCCTGTATTTTTCAGAATTTCCCCATGATCAGCACATTCATAAATTCTGCCTCTTTTGACATTTTTGGTTTCATGCTGACAGTTCAATTCACGGAGAGCTGAGTTCACTTCCTTGGTACCTCGAGTCACACACTGAGCCCAACACAAAGTGTCGTCTACATTCTGTTTCTAAGGTCAAGTTTTCAGTTTTAACATGATGTGCTCTGCTTAGCTTCTAACTCATTTCATTCCTTTCTTCATTCTCTCATTCATTCTTTCATCAAACATTTCCTGGGTACTTGCTGAGTGCCAGGCACTGTACTAGGTGCTGGGGACTTAAGATGACTTAAGATGGTCACTACGCCTCAGTCCAGTCACTGCACTTTACGCTAAGGTGTGATCAGTTTTACAAAAGAGGGAATATAGACAGTGCAACCAAGTCTTTACGGAAAAGATGGGGAAGGCTTTGCAGAACAAGTGACACAGAAAGGGTTGGCCAAGGAGATAGGAGCGCTGGCAGAGTCGGA